ATCTCATCAGCTCTTTGCTATAGTTAAGAAAATGCTTCTAATCTTTTATGAATGATTTTTAATTGTCTTCAGCAAAAGGTTTTATCTAAATAACCTAACCCAAGTTACTCCTAAAACACCAAAGACATTTTTTCTGTTTTTATTCCTGATTTATTTGCTATATCAAGGTCTTTTAGCAGAATTCAAATAGAAATTTAATTGTGCTTTTACACACAGCTTCCTTGGTTCTTCCCCACTCCCTGACTTCTTTGACAGGTGAACAATCTAAATCGATTGCTTTTTCACTTTTTGTTCTTGCTTTGTCCACACTGAGAACCTCTTAGTACCTCCCTTTTAAAATTTCCTCATATTCTAGTCTTGTTAGCCAACACTAATGACTCAATGTAAATATCTCAAAGGCATAGAGATTTCTAGAAGACTTAATGAACAATTATACCTCTTGTTACTTAGGTTAAAAAATATTGATCATTGCATATATCATAGCAACTATGATATAATCAAATATGGCAGTTAACCAGAGATAACAGAGATTAACCTTCACCCAGACCTGCCCTACAATAGCATCAAGCTATTTGCCCTCTTTTAAATCTTACTCTTATTTTTAATAATTCTATATCTTTATAAAGATAGATTTATCATTTATTGTCATTAAAGGTTGTACCAAGAGTTACATTTTAAAAATATGACAGTGGTACTGTTTAATGTAATTGAAGAGGTATAGAACAATTTCTTGGAGTGGTTTAAGCAGGTGCATGGCATATAGTCATGTAGCTTATGCATTGTGCAACCCTAGAGGTTGCCATTTACATCAAGGTACAACCTAAAGGAAGCCCTAGACTAAGATGAATTTGGGCTCATTTTTAGTGAGTTGATTGTCTAGTGTCAAGGTCTAAATTTTACTGGTTAAATGCTAGCAAGTTATTTTCTCTATAATTGATGCTATCTTACTAGTCATTCTTAATACCTTAAAATTTTGCTGAGAACTGATAGCTATTCAGGTCATTTCTGTTGATGACCCAGATAATAATGAGCTAACCTATATTATACCAGAGGATGAGGAAATATTCCATAAAAGGAACCATCCACCAACAAGACATAACAATTATCAATTTGTATGCACCAAACAATGGTGCTGCAATGTTCATAAAACAAACTCTCCTCAAGTTCAAGAGTCAAATAGACCACAACACAATAATTATGGGTGACTTCAACACACTGCTCTCGCCATTAGACAGATCCTCTAGACAAAAGCTGAATAAAGAAACTATAGAACTCAATAGCACAATCAATAACCTAGACTTAACCAACATATATAGAATATATCAAACATCATCAAGTGGATACACGTTCTTCTCAGCAGCACATGGATCCTACTCAAAGATAGACCATATATTATGCCATAGGGCAACTCTTAGTAAATATAAAGATGTGGAGATAATACCAAGCACCATATCTGATCATAATGGAATGAAACTGGAAATCAATGATAAAAGAAGGAAGGAAAATCCTACATCACAAGGAAATATTCCAGTTGAAAAAATAAAAATGACTTATATAAGCATTTGAAAATCTATAGATATCTCTCTTTGATCAATGATCCCAGAGACCTGTGACTTAGCAGGACATTCTCAGTTTATGTAGAAGTCAATAGTAGCTACATTATTTAAAATACCATAAAACTTCTATTAGCAAATATATTTTTAGCCTTGAGGAAACATAGTTCAGACATGACAATGAAAGCAGTCTCTTCAGGGGCTCCCAGGAACTAGTAAGTTCTTGATCCATATTCTCTTTTCAAGATGATTGCTGGGATCATTCTTCATTCTGGCTTTTCTTACCCTCACCTGGGAGTTGAGTACCTTTCCTCTTCAGTATAAAGGCATGGTTTATTTTGATCAGAGGCCCAAGTCACAGTACATAATAACCAGTCACTGTGTATACTAACTTAACTTTGACCATATCTTGTATACCACTTAGCCCTGCCCTAAGAGTTGGCAAAGGTCAGGAATGAGTTTGTAGAAATTTTGAAATTGTATAATAGAATTTTGAATTTGTTGATTCATTTTATCTGATGGACCCAAAACTTACTTACAAGGAGACAAATTCTCAGGAGGCTGGTATTGTGGTCTGGTAGAAAGTATAGAGACTCACCAAATAGCCAAATGACCTTGACTCATCTTCAGGAGCATACTGGGCCTCTTTGTTCATCTGTAGAATGAGGATTTGAGGCTAGGTGGATTCTGAGTTCCATTCCAGAATAAACTGCTCTTATATTCTTCCTAGAGATGAACTTAGATACATGTGCGTTAAATCTTCTAAGTCAACTCTACCAATTCTAGACAGACTAGAGCCTAAGGCATTTGCATAGGACAGAGTTTTTGTAGCATTTTAGTTCACTAAATAATTACCTTTTAAAAGAGCAGTGCTTTTAGAGGTGGAACAGGGTTCAGAAACTTTAAAAACATATTTATTTCCAAACTTTCAGTTGGAACTTCCTTAGATATACATATAATGTCTAATTCATTGAATTTTACAAACTGAACATGCCCATCTAACCAGCACACAGAATATTATCTGTACCTCATAAGTCCTCTCTCCTTATGTCCACTTTTATGATTATTACTACCCTCTTCCTTCCAAGGATAACTGCGCTCCTGACTTCCCTATTGATTAGTTTTGTCTGCTTTTGTTTCGCATATGAATGGAATCATGGTACATTATGCATTCTTTTATGTGAGGTTTCCTTGGCTGACATTATACATCTGAGACTCATCAATATTGTTGTGTGTAGCTGTAGCAAACACATTTTTCCTTCAGACAGACTGATACATCTTTGCAAACTGTATTGACATTCTCATTTGAGAGACTCATTTGAGAAGATCAATAATATGCCATTATAAACAGAGGATAAAAATGCTCAAGAGAAGAAACAAATGAGAGGCATTTTATAATTTATTAACACATTGTATTAATATATAATACAATTTATTAATTTTAAAAATGCAAATCCTCTTTTGAAGGAGAAGGATTCACCTCCTGGTCTAAAATGTTATCATGCCATGTCAAGGAAAGAATCACTCTCCCAGTACTGGTTATGGCTACTAAATGACAAGAGTCTCAAAGAGTTCCAGCTTTACCTTGAAACGAGAAACTGTAGTTTATTTATCCCCCTCTTTCCCTGCCCTCATCACCTTAATCCTTGTGCTACATGACCCTGCACATGCTGGGTGCAAAATAAAGATTTGCTGAATGAATGAATGAATGAAGAATATAGCTAACATTTATAGGGCATTCACAATGCCAGCCACTGTGCAAAGATCTTTCCTTTACTCATTGTTTTAGTCAGCTTTCTTGTTGCTGTCACCAAAAGACCTGACAAGAACAATTTTAGAGAAGAAAAGTTTATTTAGGGCTCACAGTTTCAAAGGTCCATAGATGGACGACTCCATTGCTCTAGGCCCAAGGTGAAGCAGAGCATCATGGAGGAAGGATATGGTGAAGCAAAGCAGCTAAGAACATAACACCAGGAAAAGAGAGAGAGAGAGAGAGAGAGAGATTCCTATGATTAAGGGTCTTATAACCCAATCATTTTCCCTCTAAATTTTCTTTCATTGTCTCACACATGAGCTTTTTGGGGACACCTAATATCTAAACCATAACACTCATCACAGCAATACTATAATGTTGATGCTGTTATCACAATTTGCTAAATGGGTAATTTGACCCTTGGAAATTACTTGCCTAGAGTCATTCACGTTATGTGGCAGAGCTGGATCCTTTCCACTCATGCTCTTTAGTCTTCACCACTGTGTATGCACACTCTGCCTCAGGCTTGCAGAAGCTGCCTTGGTGGCTGGATTGATGGGTACTCTTGGCCAGTAGGGTCGCCAAAAACACAGCCTGGTCTGTTGCAGCCCCTTCCCTTCTGGCTGTGTGGGAGTGTGTTCATTGGGCTCTAACTGCCTCCCTGCTTGTGCCTGAGCTGAAGAGTGCATTGCATTTTCCCAGCTGGCTTCTTCCTCCCTGAGCATCCACGCCAGCTTCCATGGCATGACAGGTGCTGCCTGCCTATCATGGGTTTTGTTGGTCAACTCCTCCACCTGAGCAGAATAGAAGTAGTCTTAGCATTTGCAGTGCCCCACCTCCACTACATGTAATTCTTCTAGTTACCCTGTTCAGTCCTCACATCTCATCTGGTACATGTCGACTCTCAGTAGATTCATTGAATGAACAAATAAGTGAATGGTAAGTGAAGCCTTTAAATTCAATTCTGATATAAACTTTGTTTTTTAAAAAAGTTTGACTCATGGACTACTAAAAATGCAAGCAGTGACAATAAGATGCAATAAAGAGGAAACACAAAGTACCTGGCCTTTTACAGTATAAGACATAAGTAGGGTAGATTATTTAGAAGATTCTGTGAATCCTTCTGATTCTTAGTATAATCTCAACCAGCCTTTATATGGTGGTAATAATTATATACATACCATTTTGGTTTTAAATTTCTTCTGATATTTTGAATGTGTTGGTATTTTCTTTTCTTTTTTTTTAAATAATTTTTAGTTGTTGATGTGCCTTTTTAATTTATTTACATGTGGTTCTGAGGATCGAACCCAGTGCCTCACACATGCTAGGCAAGTGTTCTGCCATTGAGCCACAACCCCAGCCCCCGTGTTGGTATTTTCCATAGATCTTCATGGACTACCTTGCTAATCATTTTGAATATAATGTCCTACTTTGTGACTTTCCCTTAATCAAAACATGGGCTTTGCTTAATCATTTTGAATATAATGTCCTACTTTGTGACTTTCCCTTAATCAAAACATGGGCTTTGCTTTTTAATGGCTGGTGCTCACCTGGCATTGCTGATTTTCTGGACTCATAGTACTAAAAGGAATCAGCCTGGCAGGTTGCCTTGGTTGAGGAATGACCTTTTGGGTATTGCTGTGTTGTGATTATGGCAGCTGTGACAATCTGTTGTCCCCCTTCTTTTATTTCAGGATGTTTTTCTCTGGTGGGCAGTGTGGTCATGTTGGCAGACCTGAAGAAGTTTTACTGACATTCAAGATATTCCTTGTCATCATTTGTCTTCATGTTGTTCTGGTTACATCCCTGGAAGGTAAGGTGTCTGTTTTTCTTTTCTTTTTTTCTCTGTTTATTTGTGTGTGTGTGTGTGTGGGGGGGTTGTTGTTATTTAAGATCATTTTTTCACTATGGTAAAATATACACGACATGAAATTTACCATTTTAACCATTTCTAAGTGTACAGTTATTGGCTTTAAGTACAATCATGATTTTGTGCAGACATCACCAATATCCATTCCTGGAACATTTCACTATTAAACAGTAACTCCACATCCCCCAATCTCTATTCTTTTTGTTTCTATGAATTTGCCTATTCTGGGTACTTCATAAGTAAAAATATAGTAATATTTATCCTTTTCTGTTCAATTTACTTCAGTTGGCATAATGTTTTCAAGGTTCATCTATGTTTTAGCTTATTCAACAGAATTTCATTCCTTTTTAAAGTTGAATAATATCCCATTGAGTGTATGTGCCACAACTTACTTATCCATTCATACATTGATGAACATTTGGGTTGTTTCCATCTTTTGGCTATTGTGAACAATGCTGCTATGAAGATGGGTATATAAGTAACTATTTGAGTCCCTGCTTTCAGTTCTTTGGGGTATTTACCTAGGAGTAGACTTGCAGGGTCATATGGTAATTCTCTGTTTACTTTTTGAGAAACTGCCAATCTCTTTCACAGTGGCTGTGCCATTTAACTTTCCCATAAATGAAGCACAAGGATTCTAGTTTCTCCACATCCTTGGCAACACTATTTTCTTTTGTTTTGATGATAGGTATGAAGTAGCATCTCATTGTGGTTTTGATTTGCTTTTCCTTAGTGATCAGTGATGTCAGCATCTTTTCATGTGCTTATTGGCTATTTGTATACCTTTGGAGAATTAGCTGTTTAAGACTTTTGCTCACTTTTTAATTGGGTTATTGTTGTTGTTGTTGCCTTTTAGGAGTTATTTATATACTCTACATATTAAATCCTGTGTAGGATATATGTTTGGCAAATATTTTCTCCTATTCTGTGGAGCATTTTGTCACTTTCTTATAGTATAATTTCATGGATAAAAGTTTTGGTTTTATTTCTTTTTTGTGGTACCAGGGATTGAACCCAGGGGCACTTTACCATTAAGGTACATCCCCAACTCTTTTTATTTTTTATTTTGAGACAGGGTCTCTAAATTGCCTTGGCTGGCCTTGAACTTGCTATTCTCCTGCCTAAGCCTTGCAAGTCACTGGGATTATAGGTGTGAACCACCATGTCTTGAAAAAGTGTTTAATTTTGATAAAGTCCATTGTATCTATTTTTACTTTGATTGTTTATAGGTTGGTGTCATACCTAAAAAAATCATTGCCAAATCCAATGTCAGGAAGATTTTCCCATTTTCTTCTAAGACCTTAGTTCTTGCATTTTGGTCCCTTGATCTATTTAGAGTTAAATTTTATATATGATGTAAGAATCCAATTTCATTCTTGTTCCTTTGGATATCCAGTTTTCCCAGCACCATATGTTAAAAAGACTGTCTTTTCCTTTCGAATGGTATTGGTGTCTTTGTCCGAAGTCAATTGACCAAATGTATTAGCATTTATTTCTGACATTTATTCTATTTTATTTGTGGTACTGGGTATTGAACCCAGGGACACTCTACCACTGAGTCACAATCCCTCACCCCCTTTATTTTTTGTTTTGAGACAAAGATTACAAATTCAAGGCCAACCTCAGCAACTTAAGGCTGCATAAAGGCCAGCAATAGGGCTGTGATTTCTGTGGGTATACTGCCAAAAGAACACTGGGCTATGCAAATATAAAGAATATTCATTAGGGGGCTGAGGATATAGCTCAGCTGGTAGAGTGCTTGCCTCACATGCATAAGACCCTGAGTTCAATTTCCAGAACCACAAAAAAAAAAAAAAGAAAAGGAAAAGAATACTCATTAGGAGTAAGATTAGGAAATGAATGTTATTTAAGAAGACACTATTAGCCAGTGTGGTGGCTCATCCCTGTAATCCCAGTGGCTCAGGAGGCTGAGGCAGGAGGATTGCAAGTTCAAAGCCAGCGTCAGCAACTTAGTGAGACCTTGTCTCTAAATAAAATATAAAAAGGGCTGGGGATGTGGCTAAGCACCTCTGGGTTCAATCCCTGGTGCCCTCCCCCCCAAAAAAAGACATTATTTAAGACAGGTAAATATGTTTCTTATTCAGAAGAAGGTGGTAGGACCAAAGAACCTTTGTTGGATAAAACAAAAATCTACTGGCTGCAAACTGTAGCAACATAAATAAACAAAACACATGTACCAATATACATACTTGCAAGCAAATTAAATGGAAAACTTTCCAGCAAGCTAAAGCACAATGGGCAATCTTTTACAAAGTAGGCACAAGGGCATGTTGTCAAGAAGCCATACGCTTTAAAAAAATAAAATAAAAAAATAAAAATTCAGTGTGTACTAAGGATTACAATGTGCCAGATCCCTGCTTTGCACTAACCCACTTTCCTAATTTTTTCAACCAGATCTGATCCTAGTCTTGCCTGTTTTTTTCAGAACAGGAAGCTGAGGCTCAGAGAGATAAGTAACTTGCCTAGGGTTGTTAGCCCTGGGAAGTAACAGAACTGGGATTTGAACCCAACTCTAGATTTTGTGCTCAGAACCACACAATCAGGGTTGTTGAAACATATATCACTGAGCCCTTGTCCCAGGGTTTGTGACTTAGAAGGTCTGGGGTGGGATCTGAGAATTTACATCTCTAATAAACTCCCAGGTGATGCTGATGCAACTGGTCTAGGGACCACACTTTGAGAACCAGTTTATAGAACTGGTAGAAGATAAATAGGGAGAGAAAATGCCTCCTGATATTCATGGTATATAAATTCTCTTGTGGCCATGCAACATCCACATAACTATGGTCACACACATCATCTCCTTGGAACATTAAAATATCATTGTCTGATCGGCAGGGCAAAAATCTTGTGTCCCCACATTATTGATAAGTAAATGTCCCCCCAGTGATCTTATTGGTTAGGAAGTGGTAGAGTTCATGAATGATGCCACATCTTCAGTCTCACTGTGGTGCTTTTTCCCCCACAGGGACAGATGAGGCAGGAAAGTGAAACAGGAAAAAAAATTCATCAAAATGAAAGCTGTCTGCTAGAAATAAGACTTTTGAAAATTTATATGTAAAAATGATAAAAATGAGCAGGTAAATAGGAAAGTACATAACTCTGAAGCAAACCTAAGTAGGGAGAAGCAGAGTGGTAGCTTAAGGCAGATGAATGAATGTATTTCTTGTTCCAGCATTCTGCTTATGTTAGTCAGCTTTCCATTACTGAAACAAAGTACCTGAGTTGATCAACTTAAAAAGAGGAAAGGTTTATTTGGGCTCACAGTTTTGAAGGTTTCAGTCCATGGTCAATTGGCCCCATGGCTTTTGAGCCTGTGATTAGGCAGCACACCACAGCAAGGAGTGCAGGGTGGAAGAAGCCTGTTTATAAAAAGGAAGAGGAAAATATGGGTGTCCCACGGTCCCCTTTGAGGACACACCTCCTATGACCTAAAACCTCCCACCAGGTCCAGCCTCTTAAAGGTATCTACCAGCTTTCACTAGCACCAAGTTGGGGACCAAACTTTTTAACACATGGGCCTTTGGGGAACATTCCAGATATAAACTATTGCACTGATGAATTGGTTTCTTAGAGTACTGGCTCTTAAAGTGTGGCCCCCAGACAAGTAATATCAGTATTACCTTGGAGCTTATTAGAAGTGCAGATTCTGGGGCCCATGCTAGGCCTGCTGGATCTGAAATTCTGGGGAAGGGGCAGTATTCTGTGTTGTAACCAGTGCTCCAGGTATATTGATGCATGCTCAAGGGTAGAACCACTGGCTTAAAGAATTGACTAACAGCCTGCTGGCAGCCTGCCAGAGCAGAAAACTAGTGAGATCTGGGGTTAGAACCCCTTCGCCCATGCCTTCTGCCTACTATGTGTATGATCTTGATTTGCCACTAATATAAGCCTCTGTTTCCTCATCTTTCCATCAGGGGAGCTATGATAAGGCTCAAAATATACGATTAAAAAAAAAGAAACTCATGAAAGCAAAGGTTTTTCTGAATTAAGTGTCTTAGAATCTCAAAAGGGCTAAATAGGAGTTTTTTATTATCTCTCAGAACTCCCAGTAAGAGTATTATGTTATTTAATGATCACAATGATTGCCAGCCACTGGTCTAAGCCCTTATAAAAAAAAATAACTTGTTTAAAGCTCATTCAATAACCCTTTGAAATAGACACTATTAGTAGTTTATTTCACAGATGAGGAAAATCTGCTATGCTAGACTTAGTTGCTTGCTGGTTTTTACATCTGTAGATTAAAAACAAAGATGGAATCCATAATTGTGAAAATCATGAATATGGGTTCTGAATCACCCAGGTGGCTCAGGGCCACCATTTCCCTGAACAGCTTTGGACTGAGACCATTTCTTTTCAGTTCAGAATAGCTTGGGTCTGGTCTTTATGAAGGCCAAGGGGACTGACTTGGTGAACACAGAGTTATCAATTGTATGATAGCAATTGCCTGCTCTGGGCCCAGCAGCCCCAGATGCCGAGAGAACATCATCTCTGACTCCAGGGAATTTACACTGCAGGTGGAGGAACATGACTACAATACAGGTACAATACAACACAGGTACAAGTATAGGTACAAGTATAGGTCCTAAAGCATGAATCCGTGCTAAAGGACTCAAATGTGTGGCTCTTGCCAAATCTGTGGATTTGTCTAGCTAAATGCTAAGACGCCCATAGCAGATGCTATTAGTGCCTTACCCATAACACTCCGAAGGTCACCTGCAGACTTTTCCTGAGGATGTTGACTGCTTCATGTCTTCCTGACTGAGAATGATCTGTGTCCATGGGAGCATACTTTTTTTTTTGATACTGTGGACTGAAATCAGGGGTACCCAACTACTGAGGCACATCCCTAGTGCTATTTTGTATTTTATTTAGAGATAGGGTCTCACTGAGTTGTCCAGCGCCTCACTTTTGCTGAGGCT